GGGTGTGGCTGTGGGTGTGGGTGTGGGTGTGGGTGTGGGTGTGGGTGTGGGTGTGGGTGTGGGTGTGGGTGTGGGTGTGGGTGTGGGTGGGGTGTGGGTGTGGGTGTTACTCATAACTTCCACACACACCCACACCCACGCCCACACCCACGCCCACACCCACGCCCACACCCACGCCCACACCCACGCCCACACCCACGCCCACACCCACGCCCACACCCTTTTTAACACTCTGTACAACATTATAAATACATACCAAAAATGAACAGTGCAACTTGATTCAATAAAGCGACTTTAAAGTTGTATGTTTCAACGAGTTGAAAAAATAAAAATATCGTCACTTGCTTCTATTCTTTTTTACGATTTTTAAGTATTTTTCTTTCTATAAAGAAAGCATGGAAGAAATCAAACGAACGCATAATTTTTTTCAATCACTGAAATAGTGCATGATTGAATACCGGAAAAAAAAGAAAATTATTTCTCAAAGGATTCATCTTACTCTTCTATATTTCTTCGATGCTGTCCATTTAAGTATACATAATGAGAACAATATATTATATGACTAATTATTTCTGACATGAATTCATAGTTGAAAAATAACATTATTAACTATGAATTGAGATTTAGATGAAACTGAATTATTTTTCCTCAGCATAGTGTACTGGATCGAGTATTATGAAAACAATAACGAAAGACATTGTGAGACCTCCAATGTAGAATAATAATATAGAACATTTTTGATACTCTATGCACTAACAAGCAATCTAGTAGATAGTCTAAAATTTGTGATGATGGCAATCGATTTCTCTGAAATGAAAAAGAGAAAGTATCGTGTAACGATGGGCATAGGTCTTATAGCGTATTGAGATCGACTTGAATAGTTAAATACTCAAATAATCATCCATTCAATTCTCTTTCATTGAAAAATAAAAGCAATACAAACAGTTGGATGCAATTGTGTACTCTCGTCTTATTTTGTTTTCTGGAAAGCAAATGAGACTATAGTAATAAATGAAACGTTGTTGTAGAAGGTGACTATAATCAAAATCTTGGCAAAAAGAAACAAAAGTGTCGTCATTTTATTTCTTTAATCGAAGCCACAGTATGTCTGTTTTATTTACTGTTTTGTTGAATTCAATTTCAAATCAACTTGATCTGGAAATAGTTGAATTTCACTAATTCTTTGAAGTCAAAAGTGCAAGACACGAAAGTGTTGACATTAATTTGATCTATACCAAAAAAGGAGAAACCACTGATATTCCGTTTTAAATACTATTTTTCATAAATTTCAACAAAAATCTTCAATTAATCTGATAAGATCGATACTAACATAGGTGTAGATTCATTGGAAACAGAGCTGCTGCCTTGATCTGGTTGTTATGTTTCGGGATGGAATGTTGATTCAACGACTTTTTATTCGAGAGTACGTTGATACATTCATTCAATTCTACCAACAAATTCATTGTTGTAGGCCGTACATTGACTGACAGTAGAACTCGTTTAGATACCAAACAATCGGATAGTACATTTTTTCGTTTAAGTTGTTGCAAAAATTGATTGTCTAATGTCAATGCTCTTATCTGTTAGTATAATTTTTCGACTTTGACAAACAGTACTGATATAATAAAAACAATTGTGTTGATTTGAGCCTTTTTTGTCGGAAATATATTTATTATGTTTGCCTCTTTTTCTTTAATTTGCATTTGTATAAGAATTTGTTATTATCTTATCTTTCTGAAATTAAATTACGTTAACAATCGAAACTATAGTGATATAATAATGAAGAGTTATGAAATTAAATATATTAGAAAAATCAGCAACATCAATGGGAATAGTGTGACCAGCAGGCATTCCAAACCGGACCAGGTCAGACTGGGTTCAAAAAGAAGTGGCCTGTTGGCAGTTCTCGTCGGAAAGATACCAGAAACATAAACCACTTTCTATCGAATTGCCTTGAGAGTGTGTCAATCGGAAAACAAGAGTTTCAAGATGAAAATACCAATTCGATAAAGAGATACGAAACATGAACAATGCCGACATTAGAAGAAGCTGTCGAAAGAATCATTCCGATTTTTCCTCGTATTAGAAATTATGTTACTCATGCTAAAAAAGTGTAACCATAAGTCTATTATATTAATACAATATGTATCCGTCGCAAATTCTCTTATACATTATCAACATATTTCTATACTCTACTCAATGGTGTACTCCGAGCCAAAGACTGGCATAAACTGATTCCTTAGTTTGGCTTAAGGGTGTGAGTGTCTATGGGTCTTCTCTTAATATTCAGTCTTACACCCACACCCTCTTGTAATCAGTATTAAGTTTAAGAGTACATCATGTGGGAGTAATGTGTATGATAAACCGAGGCGATTAATTATTCAATCAAAGTTTTTCGATTAATTACATTTTGCTCCTAAGACATTTAGCGACTGTCATAATCAATGGTCTTCTATGATTAATTATCGATAGAGCTGTGGTACAGTAATTTTACCAATCATTCTCTGTCTCATAAATAGTTTTCCATACATATTTTATTTTAAAAAATATCATGGATAAAAGGCAATGTGCAAAATTCTTATGTAGTAAATACAAACATTCAAACGAATAAAAGTGAAAGAAAATAATTTAAAGATCATGATCATTTAAGAAAGTCGCATTCTGGATCGCAAAACAAGGTGAGTCATTAAGGTTTGTATCTTCACCAGGTAGGCTGTAATCCAATATGTCAGTGATTTCGTTATATCTCCAATTACTTTTTCGGCATCTTGAGTGATAAATAATCCATCCGAGGTATGTTAGTGAAGCAGAACACAATACGACTATAACACCGATAATAACACTCACAAGAAGACCCTTTCCAGTCTTCTTTGCTGGTGTTTTACCTGTTACTATCTCCGGAGCGACAGTTGTATCGAAATCTAGAAAATTAAATAAATCAAAAGAAAAAAATGTACAATTGACCACAATTTGTCGTAATGCCTGGCAAAATGATTTTACTTGTTCTACACTTTGTCGAATTGTGTCTGACAAATCATTAGGAAATTATTGCCATGAAAATTGAAAGAACAGCAAATGTATACTAGAATTTATTTTACATCTAAAGAGGAGGAAAGATCATTTCACTCAAATAAAATAAAAAAAATGTTTGACACTTAATGATTCAGTGAAAATTGGTTGATTACTTAATATCCTATAAATTATATTAACAACTAAGCTGCAAAATTTAGTTCTGGAGATCAAGGATTCCTAATTTACTCATGTCTAATCTTTTTTTCTGTTCTTTTTTGCACAAAAAATTATTGTAAATGATGAATAAGGTGTTTCCACAGAGTTTAGCCTCGCCTACAAAACTGATCTTTTATCTCAGCAGTAAATATCAAAAATTTTCGAGAAAAAACATTTTTTTTGTGCAATTTTCTCCGATTGTTTTCGATAGGTTTGTACATTAAAGCAAAGTCAAAAAGAAGGCAAGATCGTATTCGAATGTCTTATGCTGACGTGCATCTAATCATACCAAAATTGACCTGAGTTACAAATACAAAATTTGTCTCATTTATGGTCTTACTGATCATGGATCACACAAATAACACATTTGCTTGTGCTCTACAATCTCTGAAAATTTTATCGAAACTGGAAATCAATTTTGTACATGAGGTTGAAATCCTGTGGAAATATGCGATAGTGAATGCAGTTTAATGTACATTGGTTTGAAGATAGGACCTCAAAAACAGCATAGATACGACAAAAGCCAGTATTCTTATTTTGCTTTTATCGATCGAACTAATTTCTTCTCGATAATCAAATAATTCTACAGTTGCTGTGGATCGTGTATTAAATATGCATGCTTCACGAAGTTCTCCAAGACGAGAATCAGTATCATTATAAATTGGAACTTGATCAGCATTAACAGTACCCATAGAAAGACCAGTTTTAATTGCATGAAATAAAAATACTGAATGCATTGCTTCAAGTACACGATCTTGATCCTGAAAAGAAAATGATATATTTGATATGCCACTAGATGTTTTACAACCAGGGTAAGATAGCTAGAAATTTAAATAAAAATAAAAACAGGCTATAAGCAGCTTTCAATATCTGTTTTAATCAAATGGTTTACATTCATGATCTTTTCTTAGTCTCCTACAGGAACGACTTTTCTCGATTCCTGTAATGCTTTCGGAGTTCATATTACTATTTCGTTTTCCGTATTAGAGAAAAACTAATTTTAATAGATGCTAGTTTTTGTCAACGTCGTACTTTATTCCACGTGAGACAGCCTTCAATTAAAAATGAAATTATCATTGGAGGTATATTTAAGTAAAATACGTGAATCAATTATTATTTATACGTTGAAATGTATCAGCATTATATTAAGAGAATCAGTTTTCCTTAACTCTTCCAGGACGATGGTACTAGGGTTGTACCACCTATTTTCCCGATGGGAAAATATTTCATTTACACTTAAGTATTAAAACTACTTTTACATAGAGGTCATGGAGTGCTCCAACGGTCATGTTATACATATCTTTTCTTGTTGCTGTATATATCCTTCTCAGACATTCGCTTTTCTTTCTGTGATTGTACAATGACGTCATAGTTTCTCTCTCTTCATCTGACATGTTGTTTTACGAGAATGTTTTTCTTCAATGCATCTATAGCTAACTCATTTATCTGCTACAACCAATTAGCTTAGAATAAATTATTATACTTGAATTATTTGGTTTCGGTGGCTAAGTATCCCTGTTCTGGCACTCATCGAATAAATCTTGGAAGATCTCCTTCAGACAAGAAGCGTAAATTAGCATCGTCACAATCTGGTGTTCATTTGGATAGTGGAATGCATTTACCTGTCAATGTAACACGAAGGAGATGTGCTTGCTGTAGCACAAAAGAAGTGCAAGTTCGATCAAACATCGAATGCTCTACTTGTAAACTGGCTCTTTGCGTAACAGACGAGTAAAATTGTTTCTTTGAACATTATAAAGTTTTTATGGGAACATTTTGGGTCAGATTCAATAAACTAATAAAAAAAATAATTGTTGATAGAAAAAAATTCCATCCTGAAAGGGTTAAGTAATATGTTGCAAAACGTTTTTCACGTGATTGTTTTTAGAAAAATGAATGGGAAATCTTTTGAAACTAAGTTCCCTTCTTAGCGATGTAAGCTCATTGATATACGGACGATATCATTGTTTAATTTGCATCTCTTATTATTATTTCGACTTAAAGTCTTGATCAAACGTTATTACTAGATAAAATCTTATTTGGAAAGAAATAGAAACGGTTTCTTTTGTTTCTGCCGGAAAAAAAGATAAGCAAAAAAGAGAATCTTAAACCTATCAAATAAATATGAATATTAAAACAAAAATAGACACATACGTAATATCTCAAATCTCAGTGTTTACAATATATTACGATAAATATTTAAAATAGAAATATTTTATTGTAGTGGAAATATATCGATCATTTAATTAGTGTCTATTTATTTTTAATACTATTATAATCGACTCTCACATTTATACTATAGGTCCATTTTTTTATCATTGTATTCATTCTAAAATTTCCAACTAGAAAAACAAAAGTAAAGATTTGTTGATAAAACTGAAAACTTGTCTCTCGTACTTCTATGTCGTAGAAGAAATGGATATTTGTTATTCAAATTATGCTATTATTACTATCACTTCTATCTGAATATTTAGATAATAGTTATGTGAGCTCGATACGAATTTTGTGTTCTGATTTTAAATTTTGTTGTATCATACAAATATTTAGATAGCAATACTTGTATCTAAAAAAAAAGAAAAAAAAGAATACATTACTATGAAAAAGTGTCAATCAAATAAATGTTAACTATCAAATCGCTACAATAAAAAGATTAAAACTCAATTACACCTAAGTGTACAAGAAAAAGTTTTAGTTTTATCAATATATTATTGTTATTTATGATTGGAAATTATCATTGTAGTTTAATTATAAAGTCAAACGATAATAATATGAAGCATTAACAAATAATAAGTTTATGTTTTTTTCTTTTCACTGTGAGAAAGAAGAAAAAAATTTGTTTTTGTTAAATAAAATAAAACAGTAATCCTATGGCTATTTCTCATTTGCGATCATAAGTCAAATAAAATTTTAAAATATTATTCAAAATTTAAACACCAGTCAACATTAAAGTTAAGAAATTAAACTATTGGTTTTTGCAGAACTACAAAAACATAATTAATTTAAATTTCAAGTTTTAATTGATAAATATTCATATTTAACAATTTTCACTTTCAAGTTGGAATCGCATAAAGTTTAGGAAGATGTAGAGTTCGCTCTTACTTTCTATGCAATTTAACATTTAGCTTAGGAAGTTGTACGGTCCACTAGAAAATCTAGCATAAATCTAACTGAATGTAAAAAAGATTTAGAAGTGTCACGTGTAGTCTGTTTGAAGCTAAGCGAATGCGATCTGAAAGTGTCACTTCTCATTTTGGAAGATTAGTGTAAGAACATGGCAGCAAAACAAAATTAGCTTCACATTTCAAGGTATTTGATTCAAAAAGCTTTATTAGTTCTGGATTAATTATGAATTTTGCTCCTTCACCAAAAAGAAGATTTTATAAGTGAGATGTACTGCCGAATAAATTGTCTTAAAAAACGCCAATGAAATATTGTCTCATTTTAAATGAGGGCACTGAAATAGGTTGATCGCGTGAGAGGTTTTTATAAAATCTTTTTTGGAATGTATCAAGATCATAGATTTAGTTTAAATACTATGAATCTTAATCTTAATCAGGAACGCTTTTTGGAAGATGACATACTCAATTCTCATATTGAAAAACGAAGCCTAATATAGCTCGAACAAGGGGCGAAAGAAAAAGAAAGTTTTGATAAAGATCGAAGGGAGATTTTGAATTGTTTGTCTCATGTTCCACAAACATGATTCAATATCCATTCAAAGTATGACCTCGATGGACACTTGTTTGAAGAGAACTCGATTACCAACACCTAATTCTTGTCCCGTTTACATTTTTTCCACAGTTTTCGTTGTTGAATAATTATATTTTTGGGTTCCAATTAGTTTCTTTTCAATGGACTGTTTATCTTATGTTAGTATGGAAACTATATAGAATTCCAATACAAAAACAGGCTTATGACGTTCATATTGGTAATTCGGTCTAATGAACCCTAAATGTGAGACTTAATTTAGAAAAAGAAGAAGAGCACTACGTAGTTTAGCACACTCTACTAATAAGAGCTGAATACATTGAAACCCTGCAAGCATATATCAAGCGAACTCTACATCTTCCTAAACTAAAATATAGAATTCTATTGAAAGCACTAGCGAGCTCTACATCTTCCTAAAAAAGCATAGAAATAACGTAGAAAACAAGAGCGAACTCTACACATTTTAATTCTTCAAAGAAAATGGCTGTTAAAATTCGTTTCAGTAAAACAATATTAAATAATAAAAGCAAACGATTTTAATTTTCGAAGTTCTTTTCAAGAAAGGAGTTTTAACGATTTAAAAATCGAAAACTTGACACTTTCAATCGCTTTTAATCTGAAAAATTCAAGTTAATTAAAAAATGAAGTATAATTTAATTTAATAAACTTTGAATTTTCGACTGCATGTTCGCAAATGAGAGGATACCCAATCCTATTACTACACAGAAATGAACATTTCACTGAATAAAATTTCTTTTTTGTTAATTACAATTTGATATTGAGTTTTTCATTAATATTAATAATACCGATAATTATGTTAAACGGGCTTCAGTTTTGAAAATCTTAGAATCATTTGAAATTGTTCGTTCGAGATCATCCATAAAAGATATCCTGGTTTAAATTGCTATTTTTTAACTTCTTCCCCTACCTTTTCTTTAAATATGCCCAGTTTCATCGATTCCTACTCCCTGCTTGTCGTCTAGTATAAAGGAAATAACTTTCTAGAAAAAGTCTACTCATTGAAATATACCGCTTTGTTTTTATTAGATAACAGTCACTGAATAGACATATTAATAACAGACTTAAATAAACATGCATTTCATACACAATGAACTAAACTATAGTATCTTGCAAAGTTTTTATTTTTGCAATATATTCGATTTTAATGAGTAGGAAATAGTAAAAACAATAAAATGGAGTTCAATATAAATGACACTCGTAAATCTAACAACAATTCATATTCAACCGGTTCATTCAGTTCATTCCCTACTTAAAAATATTCTTTAAAATAAACCAAGCTTGAAAAATCTCGTTGAAAGTTGTTTGCAAAAGCTGTTAAAGCAATCCCTGTACAATTAAAATCTGAAACACAATGTAGTTGCTCTTGCGAATCATAGAGAGTGTGGGTGTGAGTGCTCTTTTCCTCTTCACTCACACCCACACCCTACAATTTATATCAAGATGGATAGGGAACCGATTCTTTTAATCCATATGCAAAGTATACGATCTGCAATAATATACCATGATATCACTTCGAGACGCTAGGCTTTGAAGATAAAAAATTACTTCTTACTCAAAGTGGTCTTATTGATGTAAGTGATCATTCTTATTCTTTTTTCATGATCCACCACCTATATATCAATTTGTTAATCAGTCAGCTAGTATACTTCTTAATTTGGAAGATCAACCTTCATTGGCAATCATACCAACTTCTGTCGGAGCTCAACAGACAAATAACGATTTCTGGAGTGGACACACCTGTATCTTTGGAATGGGTGATAACAGCGAAAGTATTTTTTCCATCGAAAATGATTCTTATTAGAATTTTTAAGTAAGATCCGATGAATATTTTTATAAGCGTCGATCCTAAAAACATACAAAAAACTTCGACGGATGGAGTGATTACTTCAAGAATTCTGAATTATTACGAACAGGATATCCAGCCGACTTCGCCATAATGAATCAGAGTTATCAGAAAAAACAATCAACATGAAACAAATAAACTTTCAAGACAGGAGAGAGAGAGAAAGACAGACAAACCACAGACACTTTATCGCTTATAAAGTCTAACACCTGTTTTACTATTATTAGTTTTTCCTTAATTATACCCGCCCTCCCCTTTTAATGTTCATCTCATTATCATGTTTTACATCTTACTACAATCGATTAGCTAATACCTATAGTTACCACTTAATGAGATTCTGACGAAAACAAAATACTACAATAGAATCGGGGTGATTCTTCATTCCTTCTTGGTGATTGTTCACCACTTACTACTGTCGCTTCGTACCGTTTGCTAATCTTGGGATCATATTTATACTGATACTTACCACTTGATAATTATTCTTAGTAACTATGGAATAAACGCATACCATTGTGGCAAGTTGCCATACCCATAAGATGTTCCAATCCTACCAATTTTTCAAGCAAAATTCGTCACTGACCTGCTTTCGATGCAACTTCTATATGTCAATCAATCATGCAGATGCTTGCCACTTGATAAAACTCCTATAAAATTGAAATACAAAATTTGTACCGTGGTAGCTCCTACACACCCCGCTTTGCATTTTCTCAGAAATAGAACAGATTGTTGCAGTTATCATTCTACGATCGAGTAGAACAGAGTAATTGGTCTCGACTTGATTTGAATTTTTCTCTAAAAATTTGAATTTAACTAGAGACACTAAGCACCTGATGAGACTGATTCAGCATCAGTCGAAACGTTTCGTGGTAGCTTCTATACACCCACATCATAATTTGAAAGCAAGGCTATCAATAGGAGATTCTTCTTTATTAGTATAATATAAAAGAATATGAGCAATTGCAAATTTAAATGAATTTGAGTTTAATGCAGTAATTTTGAGATAGAACATATTTGTTTTATTTAGACATTAGCAGTTTTCATGAGCTTCGTTAAAACAATAAGTCTCAGGTGATTATGGTGATGGTCAATTGGCTTATTATTATTATTGTAATTATTCAACTATATTATATTATTATACATATGGAACATCATATCTGAAGATGATCTTAAACAAAAAGATCGAAAATTCATAATTAAATGAAAACACATATTTTTAAATGTATTTGTTGAATTTTAGTCGTTGTCTAAATAAAATAAATATGTTCTTTCTCAAAATGACTGCATTAGATTCAAATTCATTTAAATTCTTTATTAATGATTATTAGCCAATAGAAAAACAACCGAGATCGATAGTTTCTTCCATTGGAATTGTCAAAAAGCCCGGTAATTCCGACCAGGCAAAAAGAACCTGAAAAATTGAAAAGAATTCATTGTATCTGTTTGTCTCGAAGTTGTAAACGGACAAGAACTTTATTAGGCGAAATGACCATAAATTCTTCAAGTTCTTCGAATGGCTGATGAGTCTGTTGGCCACAGTCGATAATTGAATAGATTCTAAGAAGTCGAATGAGCACTATTTTCATTTCCATCAATGCAAATCGCATTCCAACACAGTTTCGCGGTCCAGCACCGAATGGAATCCATGCGAGTGAATGTCGCTTGGTAGCAAATCGTTCCGGATAGAACGTGTGAGGATCGACTGGGCCCCAAAGATCAGGATTAAAGTGCAAACTATAAATATTAGCAGTAATAATAGTACCAACAGGAATAGTGCCGATATTGTCAATGTGAAATTCCTCGGTATTCTGCCGATTAATGACACTTGGTGAGATTGGATACATACGAAGAGTTTCTCGAATGAACATATCTAAATACTTCATTTCTGAGATAACTTGGTAGCTCGGTATGCTATGTTCGTTATTCGAATCGAAATAAGTATCGATATGTTTTTGCAATTTGAGTTGTTCACTTGGATGAGTCGCAAGAACATAAGACATATAAGCAAGTGCTGTGCTTCCTGTTTCATAGCCAGCAACCACTTAAGAATACAAATAGTAAAAAGAAAAAAGTTAGGCAAGAAAGCAAAATGACTCACTAAAGAGAAAGATATTTGATGCAATTTCATATTTGGTCAGTTTTCGAATGAGCGACGGTTCGATGTCAGTGTCAACGGTCGCAGTACATTTTACTGGTTGATTCTTTAGAAATCAAAAATAGAACATTATTCCAAATTTGGTAATGATTCTTCAGCGTTTTGTTTCTATGATTTTATCAAGACTTCACAAAGATGGCAGTCAGAGATGGAACCGGTACCGGTTACCGGCCGGTCCGGTCCGGTCCGGTCCGGTCCGGTCCGGTACCGGTACGGATTTCAGACCGGCCGGTCTACCGGTAGACCGGCCGGTCGCCGGTAGAC